CAATAATATATATAATTTTGATTCAATTCATTCCTCAAGAATATGTTTTCAAGCCTTATTATTACACAGAAAAATAAATTCGTTTTGACTAAGCCAAGATAAATAATGGGTCTTTCTTTTCATACTCTCATCTTCATTTCAGATAATTTTTTTTTGATGTGTGAGGTTTCAAGCAGGCCATTTTGAAATTCACCTGGCCATATAAAAATAGATGTACGTATATGTATATTATCCTGCTTTCAATTACTTCTATAACTCACGTGGACTGAATCATTGTATCAGTATAAATAGGTAGTAAAAATCAATTTAAAAACTAAAATATAATAAATAATTAATAATTGACCCTATACCAATATTGATAAATTTCAATATAAAAATTAAAATACAATTAAAGGAGATTTAATATTAAGCTCTATCTCAGCAGGGTGCAGGCCAATTAGTACTATTTTAAAAGTAAAGGGTGTAACCGCATATCCTGATCCCCCAAAATGACGCCCCTACTTCATTTTGACATTTTTGAATATAATAAGCTAAATACCTTCTTGTTATTTCACTATAAAGCCTAAGAAATTCTAATATGCTAAGAAAATTACCAATATTTACATCATAAACTTTAGTGCTAATGCTTTGAAAAGGAAATCTTCTAGAAGAGAGGAATTAAGTTACATCAAGAAGCCTTTTTAAGATAATTTTCCATTTATTTTTACTGTTTCGTTAAAATTTTATATTGTAATTAGCTGTCTAATCCATAACCTAGCAAAGATTACTGTAAATTTGTCCACCTATAATAAAAAGTACGATATGTTTCATTGTTATCATGTGTTGGAAGCTTGTAATACAACTTTTATTAAATTTGAAGAAAATTCACTTCTCTTAGCTAAAAGGTTTCGGTTTTTATTTGCACAGTAGCCACTAGTAATCTTATCACTAAAAAATAAACAAGAAAAGCAATTTAATGTTTGTTTGAAAGTACTATTTAAAGTAGATATTCAAGTAACGCTACATTTCAGAGAGAGAAATAATAATGTGTCACATGACACGTAAATTATTGATCGGTGGACGACGGTTGTATGATAAAAACTAAAATGTAGGCTTAAGTGTAATAATATTATCGTGGGTTGTATGGAGTTTGGACTTTGATCATTGTTAAAATAATTATAACTTGAACAAAAAACAACAATTGTATTATAAATGTACATTTTGTCGGAATCAGAGTATCCATTTCCAAATGAAATAAACATAACTTAAAATAATCTGATTTTGACAAGCGAAAGACATGGATATTCAACTTTAATTTTTATGGCGGCAGACTAATTTTATTATTCTTATTGGTGGATATTTTTCCCTTTAATTTTTGCTCGTGCCACATTCTTCATTTGCAATATAAGTGGTTAGATCTTATGAGATAATATACACATATAGTAGATTGTTACAAAACATGATAAAATATGGTGACTAGAGTGATACAACTAAATTAATAATAAAAATAGGTATATGTTTTTTTCCAGGCCCCGAGACCATGGTATTCACTGGCCTCCTACCCTCTTTATGAGGGGGACCTTGATTCATCACGTATCATTAGAGAATTTAAAATATAAATATTATGCAAAATTATTTAAATAAACAATTTTAATCACTAAATATCGACTATTGTGTAATAATAGTTCGAAATTGAAAGTCAATCAGTGACGGTGGTCAATGCTAGTCCCAATGTCGTATCATATCAACGGAGTAAATACAACAATGCCAATTAAAACCACGACGATTGATTGTATAACACGTTTGAATATCGCTTAAAACTTTTGTTTATGAAATAAAATAATATCACCATCCCGTTATGAAGTGCTATTAATGAATAGCTTCTTCTTCAAGCCAACCATGACCAATGCTCTATAATTGTATTACCCCTCCATTGTGCTTATTGTAATTATATTTTTATACAGATTGTACAAATAAAAACAAATATGACTAAAAAAAAAAAATAAAATAATATGACAAATTATGTTAAAATAATTTGATATGTTATGTTATTAATTAATAATTAGTTTGTTTTTTGTTTTATTATTATTACATTTAATTTTTATTTATAAATGGTAAATTATTTTTTTCTTAAAGTTTGGCATTGTTTTGTACCCGAATCAATATTACCCATATCATCAAAATGAATATTTAAATTTTAAACATCCTTTTTTTAAATGAATGTTTTCATTGTTGTCATTAGGTATGTTTATAGTTACATATTTTATTTTGCTTTTGATTCATTAATCTTATTGAAATTATATTTTCGTGATGACGAATTTTTGTTTTGTTTGGTTTTCAATATTAAAAATTAAAAACACATTGAAAATTAATTTTATTATCTAGATATTGTATATTTAAGTACCTAATGATAAATTTAATAAGAAAAATGTTTATATAAAGAGACAATGGTAATAAACTAATAAAGTATAAGTATTAGGAGGATGTCGGCGCAATAATTATTTTCTCTCTCGGACCCACGTGCAACATCGTTTTTTTTTAATGATTTAAATCACCTTTTACAAAAATTATAAAGAATAATATTTATGAAGATCTAACATATTAATTTGTTTAAGTATTTTCTCAAATCAATTTAATATTCATTAAAACGTATAATATTTATTTTATTTTTAAAGTTAAATATAAAGTTAAATAATAATAAACCTTAATACCTACCTATAATAAACCTTTCAAAATTATTATCCTTTTAAATTTTGGTGATTTTACGCCAGGATTATTACTCAATGATTACAAAAAAGATTTTCGTGAATATGTGTGATCTCATGTACGGCACAGGTCTGAGAGAGAAAATAATTATTGCACTGACATTCTATTAAATAAAATATTTTAAAAAACAAAGTAGGTATAAAATTTAATTTTTTCAAGATAAATAGCACATAAACACAATATTAAATAATAATTAACGTTATTATTATTTTATCATGATCATATTATAACAAATTCACAGATTATCCGTAAATTAGAAAAAATACTACTAATTATAGTAGTGTGCTATATTAATATCAGCATATCGTTCTCGCTACAAAAATACCAGTCTCTCGGAAAAACCAGATTATGTTACTGATTAAAACAGTATATTTTTAACATTATAGTGTAAAAAAATATGAATAACTTGAGAGGCGGTGCTTTCCTATTCCTAAATTAAATCAACAGATTTAATTCAACATAATAATGTTGTATTATAAAATGACTACTGTGTTATTGTAATTTGATAAATTATAAAGTTTTTATTTTTTCAATTTAGATTTTAAAATAATGTATTTAGTGTTGCTATTTTAATTTAAGATCCCATAGTATGACGTGAAGTCGATTAAAAAAAAAAATACACTAAAAATGATTCATACTAGTTGATATTTTCTCAACTGTGCGGAAAAATAAAAAAAATTGGGGTTGTAGGATAAATATTCAAAATAAAACCGAATACGTAATTTTTATCATTTTATTAATTTTTCGTGTTTTACTGTGAACTATTTTTAATTTGTTTTTTTTTTTTGTATTTTTTACCTATTACTGTTTTTGGCGATCGCTGTTATTTTTATAATTCAATGTTACATAATACTTTATTTATTTATTATTGTTTGGTTGCAATTACAATGTAACTGTGATTTTAATAATATATTATGAAATATTGTTAATAAAACAATTATAAAAAACAATGAATAATAAATTGAATCAAGCGATTTTAATCAATGCACTTACTTATTATTAATCGATATATTATATAATTTTAACATTGTTATTAATTAGTTGTCATGGCAACTGTAATGAATAATGATTAATAATTTTATTTTGTATCCAACTAACGGCCATTTACGGTCTATATTATATACATCATATTACATTGTAAATATATATATTTACAATATATGTCTGTAAATAAATAGATCAAATATATGTTAAAAAAATAACTCTATTAGGTAACATAGTCGAGTTACAATAATAGTTTTTTTATCGTTTGATTTATGAATTTTCAGATGTATATGGAAAGTTTACAAAACCTGCAGTACTAGATGCATATACGCGCAAACGGATTAACCAGCCGAAATGTATTCAATTAAAATTAAAAGCTACACAAATTGTACAATAATCAGACAAAAAGAGGTAATTACTAATTATAATAAATTCCCAAAATTAATTGTTTCAATTTTATAGTAATTGGACGTCGTAATAAATCGCACCACAGTAATAGTCATTATGGATTATGTTGATTGTTCAGGAAATTAAGATTGTGGTTGTTCATGAAGTAGTAAAATAAAATCATTCAACAATTTCAATTTTCAACCTACTCTACAACGTTTAACAAGGCGGCGCAGAGTAGGTAATAGTCAACGCCGTACATTTTTCGTACAACAAAAACAGTGTCTTCGTAGCTACTGTAATCAGTTTGTGTTGGCTGTGGCGGGGAATAAACGTCGCAACAGCGTATTATACTATTCCGTAAAATTGAACAAATAAACTTTTTTAACGACGACGAGAATAAAACGACAGAAGCCGAGAGAAATCGAAGAAGGGTAGCTTAGGGTGAACATTCCCCCCATCAAGACACCCTCCCAAAAAAGCCACCCCCCTTCTAAACCCTTCGCGAAAAACCTATCGCATAATGGAAACGGCGAACGTACAATAATACCTAATAATAAATATAACGATAGTATAAATATTAACGGTGGCAACGAAAACAATTTTTAATAATATGGTAATTATCGTATGATTCATGATGTAGTCTGGTCGTTGAACTTCTATCGATTCCAATTTATCAAATAATGACAGACCCTTGAACGGGGACGAGTACTACTATAAGTGCACCTACTGTCTTGAGTTATAATTATTATTATTATAAAGGATCAAGAATCCTTTATTTAAACTTAATATCCTATTGTATGACCACCGTCCTGATGATAACGGGAGAATGTGATAACGGCTGACACGAACGCTATCGAAAGCATTGGGTGGCAAACCAGGACACCATTACAAACCCCAAGGCCACTACTTCCGCCACCACATCTATTTATTGTATAATCAACTACTACAGCCCGCGATAGTTACAGCGCACCACTTGCCCGGTTCGCTCGTGGAACGTCGCTTTCGTCCGCTCCGCTTCTATTCGATTGCCGTCGGTTCATCGCCCGCCGTTGCTCAGTCGTCACTCGTCATTCCTGCAGAGTGCAGGTACAACGGTGGTTGTTCGGTGAGCCGTTACCCTTACCATGTCTCTGGAACGACTGGAACCTATAGAAATCATCAATATCGACGTACTGGGGCCATATAAATACCCCAAACTTGTGCACGACGGGTACATGTATCATTTCCATAAAAAATGTTCCCATCACCTCCGATGGAAATGCAACCGTGTTTTTTCGATGAAATGTCCGGCGGTGCTCAAAACGAACTTGGATATGTTAAATCTAAAGTACATCACCGTCGATCACGAACATGTTCACGGGAACGACATAGACTTTATAGAAGCAATAAAAGTCAAATTAGACGTACACCGTAATTCGACATATTACAAGTAAGATTATAAATAAAATTTTATAATTGAATGCACACAACCTACGCACCTACTTGCACACATAGATGTATATTTTATTTTATTATTATACCTCCATAGTGGTGTGTTGGGTGTTTCATAAGACCATTAATTTCTCCACAATCTTGATTTGTTAGTTATCAATTACAAATAATGATAACATCGAACTGTTATAGTATTATCATGTCCTGCTTCAAACTTTAAAATTATTTCACACAAACACAATACAGTTTTTAGATAATACTAATTATTCTGTATTTTTATTTTTTTGTACGCCATTTTTGTATTAATTATTTTATTTTTTATTTGTATTAATGATTGGATGATTACTTATTGACCAATTCATATCTTACATAAGATTAATTTGCAATGATTTTTTTTTCTTCATAAATAATTAATTTCATTATCTTAGATCAACTACTGATTTAAATTTAGTTTCCTATGATTATGGTTCCTAATTATTTTAAAACTGATCATGTATTATAGTTACATATTGAAAATTGTAGTAAAATGATATGTTATCATTTTTAACAACAGTTTATAAATGAAACATCCATTTGCTATTGTAGGATGGACGTCACTACAAGTTATGTTCAATATTACTTAAACAAATTAAGTATATAATTTTGTATGATAATCTTTATATTATGTCAGGCAAACAAAACGCAGTTTGCTATTACAAACTGCTGTGGGTAGCCATCCGGTTATACTATTTTACAGAGACAGTGCGGTTAGCCTGTGTCATATGTGCCAGAGCATTAAGCAATTTTTAGTGACTTCTAAATAATGTTTAATATATTGTATTTTATATTTCAATTTTTAAACAAATTTCAGCTACATTCCTAATTTGTATGAAATTTCTTAAAAGTATTATTTCTTATTTGTTATATTTTATTAAATTAATTAAACTAATAGTATTTTATTAATATTGTGTTTTGTCTTAGTATTTAATGTTTGTTATTATTTTAACATATAATATTAATTGTTTCTAGTTTGAATATTGTTAAGTTGTGCTTAAAATAATTGATAACATACTAGTGTCCAAAATATTTGGAAAAATATATTACCTTAATACCACTTTTTCAACTTAAGTAGTTGTATTTTTGCATGATTTTTTTTTTAGTTTGATAACTTCTTAATGATGAACTCATTTTTGATCAATGTATTATCATTTAATGCTACTACTGCATTATTATACGAGTATATTTCACTTTGTTCATTTGTACAAAGCACATGTGTAAATCTTATTTTTTAATAATTAATTAATGTTAAGATTTTAGGCATAATAGGAATAATATGTGTCTCATTATATATGATTCAGTGACCTATCATTATTTGTAATTGTTTTAGAATCAATTAATTATACATGAATTAATAAAATATGTAAGATAATATAATATTGCAGTAATATATTTTTAATAAAAATGAACAATTCATTTGTATGTTAATTATATTAAGTATAATATAAAAACTATTTCAAGAAAAATTGTCAAATTTTGTTAAATTCTATGATTTATATTTTGCTTAATAAATACAATTCTTAAACTTCTTAAATTACATACCTAAGTATGTTAGTTTAATACAATATTATCTTTTTTATCAGATTCAAAATCATTATATTCTTTCATGTTAGCCTAACGAGGGGCCTAATGTATGTTACCTAAAAACCTGTCACTGAGTATTACGTTATTACCTACATTCGATATTATATATTTATATCAATTTATATAGTTATACTCTTTAAGAAGATATTTATTTTGATAAAAGTGTGAAATATGTTTGTATAATATATATTAAAAATAATTTCCAACTTTGTTCTGCCTTAGATTTGGAATTTCATGTATTTGTCTATTTCATTAATAATTTGTTTATTAGTTCAATTAATGGCATGTAACTGATATTATTTATTTATTGTATGGTGTTGAGTTTTAAAATTAAAAATTAGGTAATTAAGTATTAAAATATTTAATAAACAACAAAGTTAAAAATAAAGTATAATATTAATTTTAAAAAAGATAATCATAAATTTATAATGTTTTACAATGGTAAACACAATTCAAAAAAAAATTCTGTTGCACTTAAATTTAAATGTTAAACTCAGTTAAAGTTAAGAATTCTAATTGATTACTTTTGGTTTAGTAGAATGAAAATTTTTATACTTAGGAAGTTCACCTTGAACATTTTTAAATTATGTATTAATATGTTTGTATGGGTGGGTGCAAATTGCTCAACGTATTTAGAATGTTAAAGTACTAAAAATATTGTAGATTAAACAGACATGTGAAGAGTTTTACACTTTTAATGTAAACTAAAAATATATAAAATAAAATAATTTTATTTAAGGTGATATTATGATAAGTATACTTATTATGGTGATTTAATTTCTGGTGCTTATTCTAGAATTCAGAATGCTAAAACCCTTAAAATCTTGTGGCTATTAGAACTTTGCATCAGCATTCATATTCTGGTATGGTTCTAAAGCTCCATTTTAAAACATTTGTTCTTTTTTTCATACCCTATACATTTGTTTACAATTACTCAGTATTTGTCTTTTAAGTGAAACTTGTTATTTAAATGTCATAAATTGTATAGAAATAAACTTGTTAATTTTATTCAATTTGATAGTTTTAGACATAATATTAAACGTACTTCATTTCACAATTTTATGCTAAAAACTTCTTAGACTGTAATATAAATTAAAAAATATGTTTTGTTTATTAAACATTATTGTTTAATAATTAAATTGTTTTAATAATTTCATATTTATGAAAATATTTTTAAGATTTTTCGTTGATTTTTAAATTATTTATTAACTCTATATTTTAAAATTATTAGATAAATAAAAGGACTAATTTGTTTTTAAAATATATTGATATATATTCTATTATGCACTGATTAAATACTCGAATATTTCTTTAACATTTTCCATTAAAAACTGATAAAATATGCTCAAAACATTTTAAACTTAAAAATATTTCATACTTATCTCTATTTGCTAATTATCTAATTATATTTGTTTACTTATTAGTTATTCTATAATAAAATCTATATGATAATAGAAAATGAATAATAGTTTTACATAGATGAAGAATATTATATAAATTAAACTAATTATTTTTATCATAAATTAATAAATATAACATATTCAATTTAAAGTACTGAATGTTTTGTATAATTTTATTATTTTACATAAAATCCAAACTTGAGGAATAAACAATCTTGATTATTTATCCAGAAAATCATGCACCGTTATGAAAAATAAGATAAATATTCTCACATCTCCAAAATATGCCCAAGTATGCTAAATAAATTGTTTTCTGTGCATTAAGCGATCAAAATGACAACATTTTTACCCTGCTTAAAATGTTATATTTTATTTTTTTTAAATAATTATTTAAGTATTTACCTATTTTGATCTTTAACATTATTATGAGTATGAAATAGTAAAATCCCATAAAATTGAAGTAGTGATACATAAGTTAATATTAGGTTTTAAAGACCAATTACCAAATTTTAAAAGAAGTATAATTTTTATTTGAGGTAATGCCTTTCTAGTACATTATTAACTAACAAAGAAGTTGCATCTGTTCTATAATATTCAGGTATAGCTATAACTTCTTTCTTGAACAATATTTTTAATAAAAATATGTTTTTGGGCTGGATACAAACTTTTTTCTGATTGTTTTTTGTAATACTATTTTCATAATAACATAAAAGTAATAATAGTAAACAATTATAATTAATTGTTTTTCCCTCTCAAAAAAATATTTATAATTCATAGATTTTTCTTATAGAGGAAAAAATATATCATGTAGTGTACTATGTTAATTTTTTTTTTTTTTAATTTTTGTATAAATAACATGGGATTATTTCAAAAATATTTTCTCTTGAATTTTGTGATATGTCTTAGACTCTTAAATTCTCCTAATATTAATTTTGAGTAGTGGAATTTAAACTATGTTTACAGTCAAAATATAAAGTTAGGGTATAATGTTCTCTTTGTTTGAAAAACATCAAAGGAGAATAATAAACAAAATTGTTAGTTACCATTACTTACTAAATCATGATAATTTTATAATCAGATTTTTGTGTTAAAACATTTGTTCATGTTTGCAATCAAACAATCAAACTGGCTTTAAAAAAAAAAAAAAAAAATCAAGATTTTACTAAAATATTTCCATCAATTATATTAAGTCAAATTATATTATATTATATTATATTATATTTGTAGCTCAAATGAAACAATTAATAATTTTTGCAAGAATGATCTAAGGCAGCTATCAAATTTAAATTATTATACACTAGCTAATCCTGCACAGCATTGTCTGTAACAAATCAAATGCTTGTGAATTTAGTCCTTAATAATCTCATAAATGTAAATTGCATACAATTTTAACATAGTTATTTTTGTTATTTTGACCCAATATAAATTACAGGTCTAAAATTATATCTGGTTATAATTACTATTTTATCTTCTATAACTTTTGGTTCTATCATATATATGTATAAAATGATTGTTTTACCCAAGTCAACTATGTATTCAAAAGTTAAAAGTAAGTATTAAATTAAATAGTTCCTTATGAATAGAGCGCAGAGTTCTATGCAATTGCATATTTTTTTCACTTTTACTTTTTTGGATTATTGTCAGTTATCTCACAAATCATAAGAATTTGAATCTATTGGTGAAATTTTATTTGTAAATTTCTGTATATTTTTACAAAATTCGAAATATATTGCATATAAAAACGAAAAATTTTTATATACTTAGTTTATTTAAGTAATTAATTATTGTAAGTTGTTTAATTTGTAAATTTTATTTAAATAAAAAAAAATTTTCTTGTATATTTGTTGCATATTTTTATGATTTTTACTGCATATTATATGGCATATTTTGATACTTTTTAGTGCATAAAACTCCGTGCTTTACTATGACACTGGATCGGGTCTTATTAAAAGTTTAAAAAAAAATCTATTTTAAGCCTTCAATTATTTATTGATAAATGATTCAACATAGCATCGCCAGTATTAAATAAAATAATATTAGTGAATTTACTTTGTATCTACTATATTAAAATATTAACTACTCATATTTTTAACACATTCATTTAAACTGCATAGAATTTATACTTAATTATTTGTTTCAAAACATAAAATAAAGATATAACTTGTATCCAATATAATTACTTTTTTATTTTATTGGTATTATTTTATTAAATTTATAATCTTTAATCTTTTTTACCAGGCAAAAACAGTTATTCAAATTAAAAATTAAAAAATCGAAAATGTAAATTGTCTAGAAATTAAATTATTTACATTTTAAATTGCATATTTTAATTAATTAAGTTATTATAACTTATGAGAATTATACTAAACAAGGTAAAATTTGAATGACAATTGCCTTACAAATCAATTTGAATTATTTTTTTTAGTTTTCAATTCTTCCATATTTTTTTAATATATCCTTCTTTTCAATCATTAATTTGTTTCGCGAGCCCTGACTTTGTAACGCTATATAAGTATAAGTTTTTATATTTTTTAAAATATCTATAAAATTAAAAATATTTAGGTGAAAAAAATTAAAAGGATTGTTTAATTTTTTATGAAGCAATTCGTAATTTATTTATAAATATTCTGTTTAATTCACTATTCATAGCGTTCGTTTTAATTAGAAAAAAAAAATCATCAACTTATTCGTGCACTTAAAAGATTATCAGTGAACTAACTTATTATGTTCATTGTACAGTAAAAATAGTATCGAATTTTTCGTTGAAGGCAATTAACGTAACACGATAGAAGCCGGCAGACAAGTAACATTTAACGGGTTTTTTTTATATCAAATTAGATCTATTCTGTACATTATAGAGATAAAAATTTTCTACTATTAAAAAAAAAAAAAATAGAAAAAAAAGGGTAAATAGAAATTTGTATACAAATCCAATTTTTAATTAAATCAATTTATTTTTTGGTGTAATTCGATATAATAATTAACCGTAGGTACTTGAAATTTTTATCATTTTTTTATTCCTTTTTTTTTTTTAATGTCGAAAAATAATATTTGTTGAGATTAAAAGGTTTGCACATTTATAAATATACGTTTTCTCATAAATTGCTTATTCAAAAATTAAAAAATATTTAAATTGTTTAATTAGGTACAGTATTTAATAATAAACATTTAAATTTAAATTGTTAATAAAATTGGTCAGTTACGAAAATCTGCAAATTATTTTGTAGTTGAAAATTCATAAAAAAATTTAATTTTTCATTTAAGATTTAAAATTTAAAACGAGATTTTCGAGAAAATCACTTAATTTCATTGTTAATTTTAAAAAGTATTTGGATTTTTTTTCGTTTTTGACCCCATAAAGTAGAAACATTGTTACTACCTTCAAGCCTTCAAACGATGAGATAAACTATAGAAAAAACGCACACCTTAATGCAACAGGAACAAATGCTATGTATATTTTATAATATAAAAATGAGCGGCTACATTTATTATTTTAAAGGTTTGAAAGATGAAAATATTTTATTCTACTTTATCGTTGACTTTCTCTTTAGACTTTAGAGCAGCTCAAGTCCCATAATATGCATTAATGTAACAATTAAGCGGGGTTTGATTTCTCTTGTCTTCTTGTTTCAAACCATTAAAACGCCAAATCTAAAACGAATTTAAAGCTTTAGAATGAGGCGGCTTATATACATACTAATACAACGAATATTTAATCTGTGATAACAATTACATGAAGTGATAAAATACGTTTTATTTTGGTGTTAAGATAATTGGACAACCACACGTGATTAATTTTCAAATAATGCTTTTTATTCTTCTATTGTATTTTTAATTATTGTCGATAAAAATTTTAAGGAAAAAAAGTTGAGTATATTTCTCAAATATTTTTATGAAAGTTTAAATATAATTCATAATCGATTTATCTTTAACTTGGAATTTTAACAAATCCAAAAAAACTTAAAAATTATTTTGTAGTTAAAAATTCATATAATTTTTAATTTTATAGCTAAGGTTTGAAAATTGAATACAAGATTTCTTGTGTTTTCAACCCATATAAAAAAAAAAAAATTCTGAGTGATATTTGTGCGTAAAACAAAAACTTCTAATGAAATTACTTTTTTTTTTTATATAGCTTAAAAACGAATAAGCATAAGTTCTTGACTACTTCAAATTTAAACGAAATCACTTTAGTATTAAAACTATAAATAACAATGTTAATTATTTTGTTTTAATTAAAAAAATATATTTATAAGAATTTAAAGCTATTACGTATATTATATTATTATTATTTATTTTATTATCTATACGCTATGAAATTTTTAAGATTTAAGATATTATCTATTTATGTATATACTATGAATCTATTTTTACTGTTAAACTGTATTTACAGAAATAGGTTATTATATTTTGAGTAATATAAATTTATGTAATATGGTATAAATAAAAATATGTATTATTATAATAATTAAATACTAATAATATAATTAACGCAATGTTTTCGAAAAAATTAGACCTATCGTAATATCAAAACATAATAAATTATTTCATTAGCAGTATCATTAAACATACCATTAAAAAATTAAATATACTATTGTTAGTGATATAGACTGACATTTAATATATATCAGAGTGATGTACCCACTTCTTTATCTTTTTTAAATTTAAAAAGTGCTTAACAATTTAATATAAATTAATTGTGTAAACATAAATTGTGTTAATATAGCTGTTTATAAATATTAAAAATGTATTGACATAGTTTATTTTTCTAAATATCTTGCAGTTAAAATTGTATAAAATGTTCAATTTTTATAACTTTGACTTGAAAATTTAATAAAAAGTTCCTCTTTAAAGTAATTTATACTAAAATCAAAAAAAACTAAAAAGCACATTTTTTTATTATTATAGACTATTGAATTTCATACTTAAATAAGATTATATAATATAAGCTTTTTCTATACACAATAAAACTTTCAAAATATGTAGATTAATTTATAGATAATATTAATACAAATTATTCACACTGTTTAAATGATATTGATCTAAAAGCTAATAAAAATAGTATACAATGATTGAATAATACACCATTGAATTCATATTTAACATATTGTAACATTACAGTGACTTACTTGATACCTAATGTGTAACACAGCAGTACTCACTTGCCTACCTTTTTTTCCCATATTATTAAGAAAAGTGCTTGAAAATGTTTACTTTCAACTCTTTATTATACCAACTAGGTTTACTTTTTATATTAGGCTTACTTTCAAAAAATGAAGTTAAAGTTTGAACTGTTTTCTCTTCTATAAAAATGTATCTGTAGACATAAAAAAAAAACAATTAAAAAAAATAAAAAACACATTGTAAAGTAAATTATTTTATTTATCTGCCTAGAATTGAGTATAATATATGGGTAAATTAAAAAATAGTAGATATTTGTAAAAAAATATTTAAAATTAATTTAAAAGATTATATTTAATAATTTTATTTATTTTTTCAGGAGAAGTACCTGTTATAAACGAAATGATATGGACCGCTCTGGTTATAAATCAAATGGTGTGGACAGCTTTGGTAAAGAAATGTATTTTCCTGAAAATGTTTTAAATAATAAAATAGCCAGATTTTGTGCTACTAAAAATCAAATATTTTTTATTGATCCATTGGATCTTGATACAAAAAATGGAAACACAAAAAAATGTGAAGAAATAATCAAAAATAATAACTCGAAAGATACAAGTATCAATTTTGAAAATTTTCCATGCGATTCATTAAAACCAAAAGAAAACCAAAACCAAGTAAGTTATTTAAATTTATATTTAATAATTTAATTTTTAAATTGCTTGTAATAAAATATTTTTAATTTCAAAAAGTTAAAAAAAATTCAAAAACTTGTTTTTGCATTGCTATTATTAAATAGGTATATTGTTATTTGTTGCGTATGTTTAAATAATTATATTTTAACAATATCATTAATTGCTTTTATTTTAAAATAAGATGTTTAACAAACTAATAATATATTTGTTCCATAGTTTTAAATAATAACACCTAATATGTTTGTAAAGAAGTTGTAAATTTTAAAATTTGTATACATAATTGCTCATATTTGTTGATGTTGAGCTTCTTCTGACATAAATTGACACTATTGTGTGGTTAAATAGATTTGTTTTTGTTTATATGTTGTGTAAGACCTAAAATGAGTATAAGTAAAAACTTACATGATTAATAAATCTTTATGCTATGATTTTAAATTCTGCAATTACTCAAGTATTATGTTTATCAAAATACTACAGTGTAAATAATGTTAAGTAATTATTATTGTAAAATAAAAATGTGCCAATCGACATTTCTTATTTAAATATATAAAAACTTCATAGGTACATAATAAATAACACTGTAATCTATTACTACTGACTAATTTATTAATTTAACCTCTTAAGTGTTTATTTCTCTTAGTAATATTTAAAACTGTTTGATGCATACATTTCTTGATGGTTAGTGAAGTGTATTTGATTTTTCCACGTATGTAAAACATATTATAGTGAACTGAAAATATACATAATATAAAGGTTGTTAATCTAGAGCAATTAATTTAAAAAAAAAAAAATGAATATTTTCAACCTCATAGAATCAGTGCAATATTAACCGTCTATCCCAGGGGTCAGCAACCCGCAGCCTGCAAAGCAATTTTTGATGGCTCGCACAAAGGTGGTTAATTTTTGTATTTTATTTTTGTTCAATAACAATTTTCATATAATTTTCAATATTTTATAATTACTTTTCATTTATAAATAAAACCAAATCTAACCATTTTATAATAGTAATACAATTATTAGTATTATATCATAATATGTAATTTTTTTTTTTTAATGTGGCCCTTGATGAACAATTGAAAAAAAAAATAGCCCGCATAGTTTAAAAAGTTGCGGACCCCTGGTCTATCATCCCATTGTTGAACATTAAATAATAGTTAAACCTAAAATATTTAATGATAATGTAGGAAAGAAATTATTTAGTAAGTTAAATAAATTCCTTCTTAAATCTTGACATGCATTTTACCAACAATTATGTGTAACACATTAAATAAAACTTAAATTCATAAGTTAAATTAATTAAGTTATGGTAAAAACAAAAAACAAAATATTGAATATACTTAATCAAATGAGAGATGCATTTTACAACATTTACAACATACAATTTTTTATTAATAATCATTCACAATTACTTTTACAAAATATATGTATTTAAAATAATCAATTAAAATTGTTAAAAAAAAATCCAATTCTGATGTTAAAATAAATGGATGGTTATTTTTCTTCACTTATGTGTATATTTTTTTGATCTTAATTATAATTATATTTTAAATTATTTTTAGATACAATTTAAAAACTCAAAAAATGGCATGATAGAAGATCAAACAAATAATTCTTCTTTCAATGAAGAGCTCAAAGAATGTGAACCAATTTATAATACAAGATCAAAAAAAAAACTAAATGATATACAAAACAATGCAAGTACTTTATTTACAAGTACACAAGAGGAAAAAAATATTTTGACTTCTAACACATATAAAGAAACAAATAATTTAACTACTAATACTCGAAAAATCAAAAATACAAAAAAAAAATGTACTTTGACTACAACTACACATAAGAAAAAAAATATAACTACTAATAAACAAAAAAATAAAAATATATTAATCACAAATGATTGCGAAAAAATAGTTTCTCCAAAAGTTAAACTAAAAAACCACACTTCAAAATTTACAAATAAAAATTTACCTACAGTTACAGATACGCCTATGATTATAAGTACACCTACTATTTTAACAACAACAATTAATAATTTACCTATAACTAAAAATAGATTTACAACAACAAATGCATCTACAATTATAAATACACCTACAATTATAAGCACGCTTATAGATAAATCTATTGTTACAAGTACACCTACAATTTCAACATCTGAAACTATAAGTACATCTTTAATTTTACCAGAGGAAATTATTTGTACACCTACTATTACATGTATACCTAGAATTATAGATACACCTACTTTTACAAGTACACCTATAATTTTACCAGATAAAATAACAAGTACATCTACAATTTTACCAGATAAAATTATAAGTATATCTACAATAACAAGTACACCCACAATTATAAGTACATCCACAATTACAAATACACCTACAATTTTACCAGAGGAAATTATTTGTACACCTACAATTTTACCTGATGAAATTTTAAGTACATCTACAATTACAAGTACACCTATAATTATAGATACACCTACTATTACAAGTGCATCTATAATTTTAACACCTAAAACTATAAGTACACCTAAAAATTTTACACATGAAGTTATAAATACTACTACTGTTACAAGTACATCTGCAATTATAAGTACACCTACTTTTAAAAGTACATATACAGTTGTAGGTACAACTACAATTGAAAATTCTCCTGCAATTTTAAGTACATCTACAATTTTAACATCTACAATTAAAAGTACACCTATAGTTACAAGTGTACCTTCAGTTAATATTACACATACAACTAAAAGACGTGTGAACAAGAGTATTGATAATGAAGATGATGTAATTATTATTAACAGTAGTGATGATGACAATGATGATGATGATGATGGTTTTATTTCTGATTTTAATGAAATTGTTCGTCGTAATGACAAACTTAATAATGAAATAAACAATGTTAAATTAATGGGTGATGATATTAATGTACTTATGTATTGTAAAAAAAATTGGCCTTCAGTTTTAGATAAATTGTCTGATCCTTTGACAGGAATTAAGGTAATACAGTTTTTACATTTAAAAAATTTTTAATTAATATTATTGATTGATGTTGTAGGTATTTGAAGGTATTTTATTTAACAAATTTTTAATTCAAATGATGGAAAGAAATCATAGAACTAAAAGGAAAATTCAGGTATTAAAATATTATAGCAATCGATGGAAATTAAAGTTTAACCGTTTGGCACTTAAAATAAATACATTATTAAATAGTACAAGAAGAGATAATAATAGAAGACTTATCGATATTCAAAATAGAAATAAAAAGGTAAATTTTAATATTCTGTATTTAAATTTTTAACAAACAAATAATAATGTCTAAATAATTGTAACATAACAATGATAGCACCCAACAGAACAATTATGTGTTAATATTTTCTATATCTTTAACTAGGTAATTTTGTATTAGGTATATAAGATTTATACTAAAAGACAAAATAAATTATGGCATTACCGTCTTCTTTCTGTTGTCAGTTAATGCTATAGGTACTAATTGTGTAGCTATAATAATTTATATTATACATACCTACCACCATTGCTGGATTGACATATTTGGGGGCTTCCCAATATTATGAATATTAAAATACCATAAACTAAAATAGATACTTGGTGAAATTTATGTTTTGATTTTTTCAAACATTGTATTACATCTTAGTAATTGGTTTGAAACTATTTTTATTTTGTTTTATTGGCGGTAAATTAATGTGAATATATTTAAATTGATTGAAACACGTATAAAAACTAACAAAAACTTCTTATATTTGAATGTGTTAGGTATTATTTATGTTATAGTTAATGAGATATAGATAGTATCATATAGTGCCTACATTTAATAGGAACATTTAGAAAGTAAAAATACTTCATTTTGTTGTTAAAAAAGTGTCTTAAGTTTTACTATGAATTTTATAAAAAAGGCTATAATATAGTGTTAAATTGTGTTCAAATTACCTGCTTGTCATGTATAATGTAATTTGATTTTTAATTAGAATATAAAGGTATAATGCTATACAATAAAATGTTTTTCAAAGAGGCCCCTAATTTTTTCGCACTGGGGCCCTTAGAGTTCAAGATCCAGCACTGCCTAGTACCAACTACAAATTATTATTAAAGAAACAGCTGACTTGAGTTAGTCTTGAGTTATTTTTTTATTTACCTATTGTCTCCAAGTAAAATAAAAAAAAATAATCATATCGTAACTATCATTATTATTATAGTGTTTAGTTGGTATATTTTTAATAATTTAAGTATATCATTAATCCATACAATTTTACTAGATAAATATTCTTTTAATATAATATTTAACTTAAAAATGTCTTAACTGTGTTATAGAATACAACATTATGTACAAATATTGGAGTCAACATACAAAAAAATAATATCGGCATAAATAATAAAGGTTAATTAACTATCTTATACAAACAATAATTAAAACTAACATATAATTAAAAATAAAAACTAAAATTAAATTGATTGTACATTTTTATTTCAGTTTCCACAAAATTAAAAAACCAAATTACACCAGAAAACTTGAAAACTTCAAAATTATGCCAAAAATCTTTAAATAGTAAAAACAAATACCTATTTAAATCTGGTTCAGATATCATGACAAGTAAATCTGAAGGAATAAGTAAAAAATTATTTTCTACATTAGAAATAGTTGATTTGATTAAAGAAATTCCAGGAGATACAACTATTTCAAGAATAAGCTCTAAACCATTTAATTCTAAAGAAAACTATTTAACACAATTTAACTATAGTATTGAGATTAGTCAACCTAAAATAACTGAGTCAATTAAAAATGGTATTTCAGCGTCCAACACTATAATAACTTCACTACTAAGCCCGACATCGTTAAAAAGAAAAATATCTAATTTGATTCGAAATAACACAAGTATTGAGTTAACTAAATCTAAAGTTAAAAAATGTAATAAATCTTCTTCTCTGGAATCCATTGATTTAACTATGGATAGTTCACCAGATATGATGGCTTCAAGACTAGGCCCAGAATTATTAAATAGTCAAATTACAAATTCTACTCAATATAACACAGCTACTGAGATGACTGAATCCAGTATAACTGAGTGTCATGAACCTTCTACATCAGCATTAATTGATTTAACTGAAACAGATCCACCAGTTATAACAAATTCAAGATTAAGCAATGAAAAATATATTTTCACTAAATATAACAAAGGTCCGTACGTAATTCCTTCTTTTCCAATATCCAGTGATATAAGTAGTAATATTCCAACTTGTTCAAGTTCATCTATGAATGCAGTTACTTCGTTGAATAATGATTTAGTATTAAATAATGCAGATAATCCTGCTTCGAACACGGATGATTCATCAAAGATAGAGCTACTTGTACTTGGGAAAAATAATCGAATGTATTTTGTTAATTCAAAAGTAATGAATTCCCATGATTATTTGAGGCCTAGGACATTGAAAACTATTTTTAAAACAGGTTTAAACAAACCAATAATGAAAAGATCTGTTATTCTTCCATTCGCATTAAGAAAACAAGTAAAAACAAATTCTAATACATCTACACAATTGGATAAAAGAAATAAATTAGACACATCCGTCATCCCTGTAAGTTATATATTTTTTTAATACTAAATAAACATTTATTTTGATAGTTATTTTTTAAAGGTTCAAACGAAAACACCATTGCCTGATGTTATTTGTGAAAGCACTCAAATAATAAATGGAATTAACAGTAAGAACACTATTCAATCATATTATTCTCATAATCAATCTCAATCATCAAACCAGATCAAATCTGTTCCTAAAGCTATTCCACTTCTACCTTCAAAGGTAGTTAATGATTTTTCAAACGAGGTTTAAATTATTTGTATTTAAAATATTAGGTAAAATAAAAATTGAGTAAATACTATGAGTAAAATAAGAAAAAATGTATTTCTTTAAATATATTTATTGTATTTATTTAGTAAGCTAATTAGATATTTAACTAAAAAGTAATTTAGTATTTATTAACTTTTTTGATGTTAGTATTTACATTTTTTGTATACCCTTAACTTTTTTCATGTGCCATCTTGGGACACATGCTACATATTTTTCTTCTCATTTCTAGGTTTTTGACTTAAATTTAGAATATACTGATCCTATTATTTTCATTCTTCTTTTATACTATGCTTGATTTGATTGATTAATAAAATATATTAAAATTATACTTATTGAAGTAAACTATTTATGGGGTTATATTTAAGTTTAAAACATATATTAAAATAGTATTTTTTCTATTTATATTGTCAATAAATTATGAAACTAATTAATATACTTTTGTACATACAATCTATAAAACAATATATTGCAGTATGTGGGGTAGAAATCTATATGAAATATTGACAAAATTTACAAAGTCAAGTTAAGTATGGATTTGTATAGAAAATCATTGAGGAATCAATTAGCGTTGTCAGAATAGACTTAATTAGATCTTAATTAACTCCTTATTAAAAATGACTGGGTAATACAAAACGAACGTTTCCTACATTATAAAAATTGTATTTAAATAATCAAAACATGCTATTTCCTATTTTAAATGAGTAGTCACCAATCATAACTATACCAAAAAAAAACTATTACTATAAATTATCCCAAAATAAAATTTTTCTGTTATGTTAAAGCGTAATATTTGCCTTTGTTATAGGTATAATGAAAGTATATAAAATATAAAATATTTAATAAAATTAAAAATGTAATAGTAATTTCTAAAATTAATTTTAAATGTTACCGTTTATTACCTAAAGAGCTTGTTTTTATTAAGAATATATTATCCGGGAATATTTGAGAATTAATTTAATACATTATATTTTAATACAAATATTAGTAAATAACTACTTAACTGCCAACACTATCTGTTAAGCATAAAAAAAAATATAGGTATCTACCTATAATTTTAATAATACATTTACAAAAGAAGATATTGTGGTTTATTCAAAGAAGTTATAACTCAATATAATTTGAATTTACTTTTTATTTACTACTGGTTAGTAATTAAGTACATAAATAATTGATAGGTACCAAAAGCATAAACGTAACTTTGGATAATTTTTATGGCAGTCAGTTTTATTTTATGTCGGTGTAACCACTAATTAGATTTACTAAATCTTTAGTATTACGTGATATCTGAGCTAAATATCACCTATTATATAAATTTATAACTGAAACCTATATAAAACTTAATGATGTACCTACATAACTTGATGAGATATCTAAAATATTCTACATACTACTTTATATTTATTCAAATTCTTATTTTTAGAATTTTTAAGTAGGTATAATAAGGATTGTATTTTTTAAAACAATTATTTGTATCATTTAAAGAGTGTCTTATAACAATAAAAACTTTTAAATTTTTTAAAAAAAAATCTAAACAAATTTACTGTAAATTGTAAAGCATTTTTTTTTTTTTTTAACACTCCTATGATTGTATCTAAATCAAAATTCAAACAAGTAATGTAAAAATGTTTTGATTCTGAGTTATTTAAATGTATGTATTAAAAATATATATTATTCATGTAAATTGTTTTACAAAAATATGAAATATAATTTGTCATATGTAATAAAGTACTTTTATACTAAGGTAATATTAAAAAAGTTAATTAAAGAAGATTATTATTAAATTACTAATGCATACATTATAATAATAATATTTTGATTAATTAAATATAGTTAAACATAAATGTCAAAATATAATCATTTATTTTATAGGAAATATTCTTGTGAAATATATTGTATGTTTGTACGAGTTTTGTAAACCTATTGCAATATGTATAATCATTTTTCCAAAACGTACTATTGTTATAAAATTAAAGTAATAGTACATTTTAAAATACCTAAAAATAGCATTTATATTTAAAAAATTAATTTATAATTATTTTAAATCTTTTAATTCATTGCACTATTTAAATTAATGGTTTTAGAAAATTGTTTCTTCTGCATTTATTTGCTATAGCACGTTTTGGTTTTTAATCCCTCATGTATATAATATACATGTATATATATTGTATTATTTGTACTAAAAATATTCTTACATTAGTATTTCAATAATGTATTGTATTCATTATACATAATCTTGTTTTTTCTTATTTTGTTTTATGTATTGTTTTAAAAATTTAAAATACACTTTTATAAAAATAATATTTTTTGGGTATTAAATATAATAAACAGGGCTCAACATTTCCTGCACAAAAATAACGTTTAAATAAACACGCGTCTAATATGCTCCCAACACTGCTAAATTATCAACTTAATATTTAAATTTGCAGGTAAAAAATGTCTAAGTTTGCATAAAATAATAATGAAAAAAAAATATTTAGTTAATTACACAAAAATAAAATGTCACATCTATCTATTAAATCATGTTACCTCAAAGCGAATTTCTTCGTTACTTGCCTAGTATTTGCAACTGGATAGATACAACTGGAGATTGGAATCAATATTCAAACGCATGATCTCTGATGTTTGATTTTAAAATTTATATATGTATATAAATATGTTGTATACTTGTATATATGAAAAACGATTTTTAGTGGATACAATTTATCGACCTATTATATCACCAAGTATATTTCATGTTATTGTCATAAATTTTGAAATCGCTGTTAAAATAATTTGTTTTATACCTAATTTAATTAACAATATAATATAGTTTATGGAATTAATTTTTTCCAAAAATTTTGAATTTAAAAATTACATTGTGTGTGTACAATATATAATTGTATACATAAATGTAAATTATTATGATAACTTAATAAAATTTACTAATAATATAATATACAATATTTTCAGAAAAAAATAGGTCAACCTACCATAATACTTATAATATAAAACATTTATTCTTCTCCAGAATATTTTCGGACCTGTTAAGGACAGTGTAACTACTGATTAGAGGATCAGGAAAAACGAGGAATTAAAATCACTGTATCAAACACCGAATATTGATAAAGCAATCAGAAACAAATGACTATAATGGGCGGGGCACGCTTTGAGAAAACAAAACCCATTACTCCAATATTCCGTAGAGTATAAGTGAAGAACCTTGCAGAAAAAAGATTCATTGAAAAACAAAAAATGAAGTAGGAAGATATAGTGAAAAAAGATGCAGAAGAGCTAGAGGAGAGGTTGGAAAGCACAAGCAATTTGATTGGGATGGGTGGAAGGCTATAGATGTATGACGGGATAGTCCTAGAGGACACTAATGCAAAACAAAACATTTATTTAATAGCAATATCAATAAACACATTATAATGAAATTGGTAAACTTAGTAATGTAGGTTGATAGATGGCCCATTTCCACTAAGTGTCATTTTTCGTTTACCATGGTGTAATAGTGAATTAAAATTTAAAACATCCATTATAGCAAGCCGCAAGTCCCCCTGTGTATATAGTTAATGTATAAAAAGTGATAATCGTTTGCCCAACCTTTTTTTTTTGTTTTTGTTTTTTCCCGATAGTTTGAAAAGTATTGGGAATTTTCAATTTGACTTTTTAAAATTTTTTCTATAGAGTATATATTCATTTTTTCAGAAAACCGTAGGTATTTTATATTTTCACCAAATGCTTAAACAATCATTTTTAATATCTACATGAAAACATTTTCAAAATATTTCGACGTTTTTCTGCTGAGTTATTTATTTATCAATCTTTAAAATTTCATTTTTTTGGTGGAGATTAATTACACTTACAGTTAGCTTAGTTATAAATAACATTATTTTTTAAATAAAAAGTATTGATTAGGATAGTTATAATGTTATATTTAATTTGAATATTTTATTAATTATAATTAGTTAATGAATAATTATGTACAAGTATAGTATCTATGTTACTTTATGTATACTGAGTAATTACTGACGCAGTGACGCCCCTATGCGGCTGTGCATAGCTACCATGAATCGCTAACCAATGAGTGATGACCCAGAATAAAATGTGTAAAAAAAATTACATAAAAGGAAATTAAATAAAACAAAAAAATGGAGGAAATTTTTTTTCTTCCGGAGTGAGGCAATTAGCACAAAACTCGAATAGAAATTAAAATTTATATCAAATACAGGTCAATGAAATCTTGATCAAGGATGGTGAATCTTATGATACATATTTTATTAATGAACATTTTACATTAAATATTAACATATGAGTCAGTCAGTAATCGTGGTAAATTTTTTTTTATGTATAAATATATTAAAGTGCCATTTTTGGGTAAAATTGGTTACATAGGTAATAAAATATTTTATTATACTATATTTTTTACAATATTCGTAACTTTTAAAAAGGTAACTATTATTGCTTACTGATTGATTACCGTGATAATTATTTGACGAAACAATTTTTTATTATTTTAACATATTTTTGTTTTTAAACACAAAATTACTACAGTTATATATTTTGCAGGAGAAGAATGTGTACAGAGTGTGGGGAATATTTTGCTTAAGCTGGTGTACATACTCTATTCGAGTGGAGTTAAAATAAAATACAAGTGAAGCTATAATATGGTATAGGTATAAAAAAATATGGGGGACGTAATTATCCTGTATTCTATGCATAAAGTTATGCAATCTATTGAGATGGTCGTTGAGTTCGCATTTATGCGGTGCAGTGATCAAGACTTGGTAGATTGATGACATCGATGTGGTGTGCCAGTATAGCTAGATGGACCAAGTATTACAATATGACATATCGTTACATTACATCTCCTCCTCTTACAGACTGCTATTTATAGAAAAAACAAGTTCAATCGATATGATGAAAATATTTGGTCTTAATTTAAGATAATTACAGTAGGTACTTCTTATACACTCGATTTGTAAGTAAATCACACTGCAGATCACAGATCGCACATAAAATGTTTATATTAATGTAAATTTATTAATGT